ATGCTTAATCAAGAAGAAAAGTAGGACAAAACTTAGATCTAGACTTATATAACCATAAAGGTAAGAGCTTTATCACTTACAATGGTCCAAAAACAATGTAAGGTCATATTGATGATGATTCCTTGCAAGCCACAACACAAGACCACCTTCTTCTTCTTTCCTCCTTCTTTCGATCCAAGAAAAGCTCCAAAACCACCAAAGATCAAGCAAGGATGTGAATTAGGGTTTCTATGAGGTGAAAGAGGGTTTTGGGCTGATAGGATACCTTAAAATGAGGTTAGAGATGCTTAAATACGAAGGAAACCCTAAAAGAGCATGGGCTTGGGCTGCAGCGCTCCTCACATCGTGAGCACTTTGTGTTGGATTAGGTGTCTAAGCCCATAACTATAATTAATATATACTTGAATTGATAGTAGCACAACCCTTTTGGGTTGTCCTCATAACTAGCAACTAGATAGGATGACTTTTGAAGAGAAAGGTTGAATTTATTATTTGATTAATAAATTTGATAAATGATTTATTAATGTATTATGAAAATAATATATTAATTAGAAATCATATTATTTAATTAATAATTAATCAGAAATTAATTGGAATTAATTTCAGGAATAAAAGAATTAATTAGAAGTACAGGGATTAAAGCGTAATTATTCAATTGTTGAATAGGAGGTTCCAAAACCTTCCTAGGAAGATGGTGAGCAAAATTCAGATAATTAGGGCTTCTAGATTATCCAATGTGGATAATTATGGAGGTGGATAATTACAAATTTGAATTAATAATATTTTTATTCAAATTAGGGTTATCCAATGTAAATAGACCTATAGGGCTTCATATTTTCAGCCACTCAAAACCCTAGAAGGATAGCCCAAAATCTCAAGCCTCCTCCCCTCTCTCCTCTCTTATCCTCTTGCTTAGTTTGGGTGTGAACCATTAGAGGCGTGACACTTGTAACGCTTGCTTGCAAGGTTGAAGAAGACTTGGATTTTGATTGTTATTACAACATAAAAATCAAATGTATGTTTACTAACCCTAGTTATTATTTTCAAAATTATAATAGTGTAATTAGGGTTTTCCTTTTGATGTTTAATACTTGTATGTTTAATTAGAGAAAACAAAGATCTACAGATATTAGGGTTGCATGCACACAGAGAGATTGTTTGTTTTCTATTGAATTTGATGCAATTGGTTGGACTTGATCAATTAGGGTTTATCGCAATTAAACCCTTTGGACTTAGGGTTTTCGCAATTTAGGGTTTGCTAAACCTAGATTTTGAAAATTTGGAAAAGGGTTTTAACCCTTTCCTTTTTCCTTTAATTTTCGAAAATTAGGGTTTCCTAACCCTCTAGATTTTCGAAAATATGATAAGGATTGAAATCTTTGCCTTCCTCAGAAGACATCCTCAGGGATTCTCCCTGTGGCATTGTATCGGCCAAAAACTTACACCAACTTAAAACTCTGGTATTTAGTTGTCTGACTACAAAGTCTATTTTTTGCTTATTGCTGTAATTGCAACTTTCAAATACCATCTTCATCTCGGAGATCTAGTCCATGATCTCTACTGGCTTTAGGCTTCCAGACAGACTTGGTAGATTGACACCCAAGAAGCTCTTGTACATACACCTATCTCTGTCAATCCCTCTGTCCATATCATTCCTCCTTACCACTCAGGGTTCAACTTGACTCACGATACGACTGTAATTTCCCTCCTTCGATAGTTCTTCATTCAGTTCGAGCTGCACCATAGGTATAGTAGGTTCATCCCTATTAATAACATTTGTCTAATCTTTTCCCTTTTTTCGGCCATCATAGCCCGAATCATTGCTTGGACTCCTGCCATTGTGATTGGATCGGGTGTAGCTGCTACCTCTGGTGCACGTTCAATCCGTCCTGGCTCAGGCTGTTGGTTTCCATTAGTGTTTCCTAATCCGCTGCGTGTTCTCACCATGTCGATGTATACACCCAAGCAGATGTTTGGTGTACAACGACAAGAATAGGGAAAGTTTTATTTATGATAGGCGCATACATCTTCTTATTACTCCGAAAGGTTACATGCGAGTTCTAATATCGAAATTAAACGTTTAGATATGTGAACATCTAAGGTTTCTAGATTCAGTCGACAGTAGACCATAGATCCGATCAAATAATAGCATCCTGAAGCATATAAATCATTTTATAGCTATACATAAATCATTTAGCACATAAAAGCAATTTAGACATCTTTTCTAAAATAAGCTAGTGCTTGTGTCTGTTCAAGTTTATTTCCAAAATATAGTAGACACTCATCTCACAATCATCGCTTAGCAATCTATGTTAACTCTAGAAATCCTACATATTCCTAGTTCATTTAAAATAATGCTCTGATATCAACTGTGACATCCTCAATTTCACAGCCATAAAAGACTGATTTGTTTATGCTTTATTTAAAAATCAGAGTATCGTTTTAAAGAACAATATTGTGGAATTTGTTCCCAAAAATATGATAAAGATATTATCAAAGCATTTCTGAAGAAATATATTTTAATTATATTAAAAACGTTAGGATGCCATTGTCATTACAGTACATAAGCGTAAACGGAAATAGTATTGGGCTTACACACATCTATTATTCTATTGGCCTATAATCCATAATTCTCTCAACTGTCTTTTCCTTTGACGTCACATAGTATCATTATCACAAAGTCTCAGTCTAATATTTATTGTGACTAATTATTAGTATAGATTCATCGTTAATTCAAAGTCTAATTCAAGATCTATCAAGTAAGGAACAATCTGGTAGGAGCATATCAAAGGTAGAGTCCGTTTGGTATACAAAGTATACTATTTGGAAATCTCACTTTAAACACCTCACTAAATCCAACGTAGACGTCATCCACGTAAGTAGATCAATCAATATAACGACTTGAAATCAATGATAAATCTTGTTTATAGGTTCATAATAATGATAATGCACTTAAACATAAGTTATACTTGAAGTACATAAGTTATACTTGAAGTACGATAAGCATAACTCAACTTACAGGTAGTTTAGCGAGAAACCAGACTCTATACGGGCAGAACTTCTAAACCGAAAGCTCTACTTCTCGGGGATTTATGGCGCTCAGGGGCTTCACTACTAACACCTAGGAAGGGCTAGAGAAAGGCATTGGGGCATTAGGGGGGGGGGGAGTTGGATAGAAAAGTGTGAGGAATTGAGTTATTTTCGTCATGTATTTATAGGCTGGAAAGGGCCCGTACGCTGCGCGTACTCCATCATTACATTGGATGTAATGTGCCACGTGTCACAATCAAGTGGCTGGAAAGGGCCCGTACGCTGGGCGTACTCCATCATTACGACTTCCTTTTAGATCACTAAGGCTAAAAAATATTTTGTCAAAAATCTACGTTTTACAATACGCATAGCCGTGTCGGTTTAATCGCGAAACTCCGACGGATTATAACTTCTTTGTTATAAGTCGGATTTTAGCGTTCTTTATATCTTCAGAATCTTTGTTATAACTACTTCAACTTTCTTCAAAGATATTGGGTTTAATTATTATTTTATTTTAGGCGCGTATTTTATCCCTATTTTATTATATTGTTATAAGCATGTATATTGCACATAATTTACACGTAATCACATAATATTCAAATAATTCTTCCTCATTACTTCAATATAGGTTACAATTGTTGACCTTAACTATTACATCATTATAATAATGCTTAGCTGGAAACGCGGACATTACATTATCCACTATTGATGAAGAGTTACTGAGAAGCGGCGCTCTGAGCACTACGCTTGTCGTTCTGGGGAGCAATTTGGTACCATTTTGGCCTGTTATGGGCCTTAGTGTTAGGACATCGGGGCCTAAGCACGAGGCCACGATGGCGAGGGTCTGGGCCTAACACTTACACCGGGTAACGACTGTTAGCTATGTCGTCCTTTGGATAGTCGTCTCGTTATCTTTGGCGTATTCCCAGATGGATATGTTAACAATCACGTATTTATTTAAATCAACGATTATAATTTTATATAACTAAAAAATATCTCTTAATTAATAACTTATTTGAATTAATTGGTTTAATAATTATGAGTTTTTACTATGAAAGTTTAATTAATTTTGTAATCATGGTTTTCACGGGTTATAAACTAGTTTATACAATCAATATAGGATCTTATTTTTGAAATTAAATAATAAACTAATTTAGATTTAGATTATTTAATTAATTAGTCAATAAAGATTACTATAATGTCCTTATCATTTGGGTTTATTGTTACCCAAAGAGGCTTTATTTTAAAGTTTAGAGATACAAAATGTCGACTTTCCATAATTTGGGGGCAGAGGACCTTAAAGCATTCAGATGTTTAATTTGATGCTTCTTTTGAGATTGATGATATTTGCTATTATAGGAGAATGATGGAGCGTTATACTGAGACACTACATGTTTCCTTCCTATACCTTTGTGTGAGTTATCTGATGAAAGATTATTTTATAAATCTTTAACACTTAGGTTGAATATTATTGAAAGTTCTCTAACTTGGCACATTTGTTGTAGGTTATTTGGATAAACAAGTAGTACCCAAATGGACATTTGCGTAAAAGAAAGACAATAAATGGATTGTTTTATTTGTTTATTTTGTTACGATCCTTATCAAAATAATCTTTTAATTTATTGTATGAGTATTTTATTCATTGTATGGACTCGATAGAGTAGTTGTAATAGAGGTTAGACTAGATAAGAAAAATATTATATTACAATTTGTAAACAAGTGATTACCATAGTCAACCAGGAAAGTACAACAAAGACTAGAATCTTGGAGGCTTCCCGACATCTGGTGTGGATGGCGAATCAAGTGGGATCCATGAGGTATGTTTCCTTGTTGTCATGTTGCCTTGATATTGTTAGGATCATATTATCATGTTTACTATTTTTATTTAATAAACTACGACCTATAGGTCTTTGTAAAACACTTTAAAAGGCATTTCTAATACTATAATAGTTACATGTATCGTTGCCTAACTATGTCACCAGAAGGATTGGAACATTATTATCTTTGTCAAATAAAATAATGACAGCTGTAAAAAAGTAAAAAAAAAATCCAAAAATTCAGGGTAACATTGATATCAATGAAGGGATAGCATGAAAGCTTCATAAACTCCATATACGATGTGGTTTAACATTCACATCCATAAGACCTATGTTGACGCCCTTCTCCAGTAACATCAATCGTCTCAGGAAAATACCTATAACAATAACCAAGTTACTCACATGTAAAAATTAAAATGGTATTTTTTTTTTCTCATTCAAAAAGGTGGAACAAGGCGTTAATGCCCTCCTTGTAATCATCAAAATGAACCCTAGAAAGCTTCTTATGAGTAAAACTTACGTTTCTTCCTCTGGTTCGTTCTTAACAGCATTTGTTGCTATACATTGGAAAGCAGCTTCCACATTAATTCCTTCTTTTGCAGAAGTCTCAAAGTAAGGTATGTTTCCCTTGGATGCACACCATGCTTTTGCTTTCTTCTTAGAAACCTGCAATCAGTAGTTATGTTACTTCTTAATGCCTTTTAAACATATGGTATAAAAGAATTCCATTAACCTACCACTCGACCATTGGCTCCATCAATGTCTATTTTGTTCCCCAATAGAACAAAGGGAAAGTTATCAGGATCAGATGGACTTGCCTGAAGAAGAATGAAGACACATTTTTTTTTTCTTCAGAAATTTGGTGAAGGAAATCGGATACAGAATATCAGAAATAAATATATAACATGGTTGGATTGAATCAATAATCACCTGAATTAAAAATTCCTCACGCCAGTTGTTAAGACTATCGAATGATTTCATGACATTTACATCATATACAAGAACACAACAATCAGCACCCCTGTAGAAAGCTACACCAAGGCTTTGAAACCTTTCTTGTCCAGCAGTGTCCCATATCTTATAATCAAAAGACTATAATCAATGGTAACATAAACACGCAAACAAAAATTTATACAGACACACAGTGATAACAAATGGAATTGTATTGGAAGCTTCATCTCACCTGCATTGTGAAGAGCTTGTTTTCAAATTGAACCTCTTTTGTTAGGAAATCAGCTCCAATGGTTGCCTTGTACTGATTGCTAAACTTACGATTCACATACCTATCAAAATTATTCAATGTGAAACGAAATCAGAATCCAGAAAACATCAACATACTTGAAAATAAGGAGATCGGTAATTAGAATTTACTGGTTCATCAGAGACGTCTTCCCAACCCTACAACAGATTATTAAATAAACGTAGATTAGCACAGATATTGAGGAAAGCTTCTATCAGATACGTATTAATCTCCAAAGTCCAATCAGAGATCAGACAGATTCAATCATAAGTTTTCTGCAATAAACATGATTTGAATCTCGAAAATGATCAAACAGAAACCTCAGATTCCAAACATTTATTCGGTTTTTTATTTGTTTTGCATTTGATCGCATTTTATTATTTACCCGCTGTCTCCGAGGATGATGACCTTGAGAAGCATTCTCCTTCGAGAAGCCATACTAACACTGATCTATCTTCACGACCAGCAATATCTGTGTGTGTTTATGGTGTAGAGACGTAGAGAGAACGAGAGAATCTGCAGTTTCGTTTGTAAAAATGCAGATGATGAACAAGAACACGCGGCAAAATAACTGTAGAAATTAGAAAATTAATAAATGAACCAGCGATAACAAATATGTTATTGCACTTTAGGGCATACATGATTAATCTGATGGGGTTCTTCAGACTTCAGAGGTCTAATAAAGTAATAAAGTAACAATCAATGGGTGCTATAGTTTTCGTACTCCTTAAATCCTTAATTAACCTTTAATTACCTTCTAATATCACTCACATAAAAAATGATTGACTTTTTTTTTTTTTTTTTTTTTTTTTTGTTTATTATTATTATTATTATTATTATTATTATTATTATTCCTAAAAAAATAACAAAGTACGATTTTCTATATTAGCGGGTAATTAGCATAACTCCTATTAATATTTGTCTTGATCCACCCAATCTCTTTTCCATATATGTTCTCTTACTCTTTTTTCATACAAATACAAACGAACACATGGGCTATTTTATATCACACACAATTAATATGAATGCCATTTGATTCCTCACGAGTTCATAATTGACAAACAAATTTCGGGTTATAAAATAAAATGAATCGAATGATAATACAAATCAAAAGTTTTCACCGTCATCAAACTAGGATAAGAAGTATCAAATCAAAGGCTTTCACCATTCTATACACATCCAAAACCTTATAGAGACAATGAATAGTTTTCTCATTGACCGGATATTATTTTTTATTGATAGCTTTAATATATATTTTTTGATGTCTTATCAAATATTATATTTTGATTTTTTTTTTATCTGTTAGATGTTTAACAATCGTGAAAGTTTAATAGAGAGTGGGTGCAGAATGTTGCACGCTCTCTTAGGTATGTGGTTGTTATTAAAAGAAAAAAAGACAAAACCAAGTGATAGTGTCGAAAATTATTTTAATGTGTGATCGGAGTGATGTGTTTGGAAGTATAGATATGGGACAAGAAAAACAAATTGTCTGCTTGTTAACATAATCATGAAAAATGAATTACAAGTTAACGTAAATTTGAGAAAGAATAGTCTCCATTGAATTTTTCTTTACCTGATCATCTTGGCCCAAATTGACTTGGTTTATGATTTTAATTTGTGACAAACATTATTTAAAGTTGGCCGAAAATAATGACACAATTCCGGGAGATCGTTTGTGATTGATGGATTTTCTTGTGACATAAAATGACAAGGTGATTTTTAGTCAATGACATTTTCTTTATTTTATTCATTCTATAATACAAAATAAATTTTCAACAATCTTAGATAAATACCACCAAAAGGTTAACAGCCATCGTAAAGTACTTAGATTTAATTCAATCGTTGAGAAAATAAATCTTTAGATAAATAGCACCAAAAGGTTAACCCTTTGTATCATTCCATATACTATACTATGAGTTGGTGTAACCAACAAACATCTTTTTTTTTTGCTATTTTCTGAATAATATAAATATGTAACGCATTATTACAAATTTATATATACGTATTTGATTACAGTTTTTAGCGACCTTGGATTGATTCATTCAGTTTGGCTTATTTCGTTTTACCTACGACTGATTGTAGACAATACAATACAATACAATCGAAATTGAATGGCACAGAATTGCAAAATAATTTTACATGAAAATGAAAATGATTTTTATACCAATCTTATCTATACCTTCGTTTGAGTTCATTTCTTTTAATTCTGATTATCATAACTTGAAATAACATAAAGTCACAAACGCATCCAAATATTGTCCTAGAAAACCTCCCACAGCTAATATCACACCAAAACATTGGGGTCCTCAACTAATCAAAAACCAAAATCCCGAGTCTGTTTCTGTTTCTGTTTCTGTACAACGATAAAGCTCTATATAAACACAATCATATCTTATCTCATCCAAATAAACTCTAAAATAATTATAATTATTGTTTAACTAGTTTGGTCGAGCCTAGATCATGTGTCGAACTACTAGATCCAGATGGCTGCTGACCAAAACTTGTGGTGGGTGCACTCCATACACTCGAGTTATTTTGACTCTCAAATGCCATTTTCTGAAACTTTTTTAACTCTTCTCTATACTGTGCAGTATCAAAATCAGAGCTCTCATGAGAAGCGTTAAATTTTATGTGCCCAGGTTTCAAACCCTCGTCTAAATCCTCTAGTGGCAGGTTCCCTTCTAACGCTCTTGCTATCTGCAACATACTCTTTGTGTTTCAGTTATATTGTTATAGTCAGGCAGGTTTTTAGAAATAAATAAAACATACCTGGGTCATTGATGGCCTACGCCTTGCCAAATGACGTACACAAACAGCAGCACAAGCAATCATCCGAGACATTTCACCAGAATCATAATCATTATTTAGCCCCGAATCCACTAAAGAGCTGAAGTCACCATTTTCTAATGCTTCATTTAGCAATGGTCTTGCCTGTATCAAGCACAATTTTCAGAAAACCTTTACAAAAAAAAAAAAAGGATAACTCATTAGTCGTTATTTACCCAGTCGACAATGTTATCATCCAAGAATTGGGCTTTGTCGATAGGTCGGCGTCCAGTAATCAATTCCAGAAGCATCACACCAAAGGAAAAGACATCTGATTTTTCTGTTAGTTTTCCGGTAAGAGCATACTCTGGAGCTAAATAACTGCAAAACAAAAATGTGTTTTGTGTGTTTAAGAATATATTTTAGTATTAATTATGTATTTCATTTTTTAAACTGGGAGAAATTATAATTATCTGACCCAAAAGTTCCCATCACGCGAGTCGAAACATGGGTATCGGTTTCAGAAGTGAATCGAGCAAGTCCAAAATCGGCAACCTGAATAAATTAAAATAAAAAATGTTCATTTCACTAAAACATATTATTATTATTATTATTATAAAAAGAAGTTTCTACCTTTGGCTCAAAATTGATATCCAGAAGTATATTTGCAGACTTGATATCACGATGAATGATCTTAGGTTGACCTGAAAATGCAATTTAAATTATTTCAACTAAAATCTATGCTCAAAATAGCTTTGTAAAGCAACAAAGAAAGAATACTCACAATCCTCATGCAAATATGCTAATCCTTTTGCAGATCCTAAAGCAATCTTCATCCTCATTTCCCAATTCAAAGGCCCACGTTCCTTTCCTGCCATGTTAACAACCTATTAAAGCTTCATACATTTTTCCAATTTAGCCTTTTTTGAGTTTTGGAAAAATAAATATCATGTTTTTTGTAATTCACAAAGCAGAGGGTATGTAGAAGTCTAAAAAGGAGTCAAGAAACTTGTATTTTGCATATTTATTATCCTATGAAAAACTTTCCGGAGGATTATTGGTTATTTAAGAATGTTCTTTTTACCATGTAAATGGAACTCAAGGGTCTTGTTTGGAACAAACTCATAAACGAGCATCCTTTGAATCCCAGAAATGCAGTATCCAACAAGTGTTACAAGGTGTTTATGATGAACACGACTAATTATAGCAACTTCAGCCTGAAACTCACGTTCCCCTTGTCCACTTCCAACTTTCAGTTGTTTAATGGCAACTATCTCACCATTTGGAAGGACTCCTTTATGGACATACCCAAAACCACCTTGACCAAGGAGATTCACTTGTGAAAAGCCTTGTGTTGCAGTTGCTAATTCTTCATAACTAAATATGGTCTTGGAGTTTGGGTAACCCTGACCCATTGTTGATTGTGGCTGTGGGTTTTGCTTTTCAGACCCTGCACTGCTTGTTGAATGTGGTGGAGGAGGGGCTGAGGAACCCAGTGAAGATAACTGAAAACATGATGCGTTTAGTGGCGAATTGGTGGACTTTGGTGGCAATCCGTTTGTATTTTCCTTTGATGAAGGAGCATTGTGTTGCCAGTTTTGAGGTGTGATCCCAAATTCATCTACAAAAACAAAACCACAAGAAATTGTTAATGTATTAAACCACTGTATTAAGTTAACACTAAGACACTAAATGGTGTTGTGTATTCTGTAGGGCAAAAGATTAAAATAAATATTTGTGAGAAAAAATTTGTTGTGAAAGCACTTATTAGCCTAGTCCAAAGTGTTAAATGATACGGCACAAGATCGAGTTTTATTCATTTAGAAATTACAGTCTAGTAGTCTACTGCAACATTTGAATTTCTCAGAAGAGTTTCATTACCCTTTCTTCATTGAAGTCAACAACTCATAGTATAACTTAATAATTCACTAAATAGGTTAGGCTATTTTATGTATAAATTCTTACAGGAAATCCTGGATCGGGAATTGATGTATGTGGTGTAGTTTGTCTTGCATGAAATCACATATAACATTCATTTCTAAATCTAATCCTCTACAGCATCAGTCCATGAACTATATGAGGCAATCAGGCAATTGCTCTATGAATTGTAATGCATTTACATTTTTTTTATCTATTCACTATTCACTATGAGATTCAGATTTAGTTAACTAGGTCACCTCAAAATTGAAAGTGAGTATTGTGGAACAAACAATTAATAATTGAAACTACTCATCTAACATCTACTCTGCCCCAAAATAAGTCCAGATTCGATTTACGTGCTTTCTTCTCAAATTTTTGATACGAAAAACATCATGTCTGAGAAAATCTATGATCGATAGTAGGCAGGAGGGAGGAGGGAGTATCAACTATCAAGCACCGAAACAGCCATTAAAGTCGACAAAATACTAAAATAACCTATCAAAAATCAAATGAAGACATGGCATCATCAAACACCTAACCTTTAAACCCTAATGGAGCAGAAGACTCCGACAAGGCAAGACGACGTCTCTTCCGTCTCTTGTACCAAACAACGAAAACGCCAACGAAAACAAGCACAACAGCACCGCCAATGCCTATTCCGATTCCAAGCGCAACCAATGCACTGTTACTACTAGATCGATTTTGAGCCGGCGGCGAAAGAGTAGGTTCAGAACCAATAGAAGTTGCATTTGTTGGAGGAAGGAGGGGAAAGGTCGCTGTCGGAGAGGCAGTGGTGTTGGTTACTGACGGATCGAGAGGTGACGGCGGAGAAGTTCCGGGAGCCGGCGAAGACATTGGCGGCGGAGCCACCAGACCTACTAGCACTATAGGTTAACAATCGATTATCAGAGAGAATAAAAGCAAAAACCCGCTTTTCAAAGGACACATTGCATTTGCTCACATGATCGAGAAAGATGGCAGGAGTGTCGTAGAAGCTGAAAGCATGAGAATAAGGCTAAACGACATCGCACCGGATTCTAGTCTAGCCCTTGAGATTCGTCAAATTGTCTGAAAATTTTCATTTACATACTTGGCATTCTCACAATTTTTAAATCGTGCCCATAACTTTCTTCCAATTACTATTAACTACCCGTATTGGCGTATCATTTATGAAAACCATCAACACTACATGAAATCAAAATTAGATGTAACAAAAGGAACAAAATAACAAATCTAGATGTAAGAATCCAAATTTTATAAAATTAACAGCTATAGAAGATTTTAAGTACATGTATCAAACACTCGATACATAACCGCATCAATACCATAAAATATTGGAAAGATAATTCCTATAAGTAAGAGAATCAACAAAAATAATCATTACTTTCTGGTTGCAACTCTTTTGGAATGCCTCATTACGAAATCTAAAAACACACAATCCAAACTGAAAAAGTACATTTCGGGATGTATAAACCTTCCAAAGTCAAAAATATAAAATATTTCTATTGTCATTATTTCTCCCATTTTATCAGAGTTTTTGCAAAAATTTTAGAAAATTTACACATCTAACGCATATCTAGCTTTCTGTTAGTGAAAATGATTTCTTATAATCACTATTTTAGAATATATGTTTGCAGTGGATGACAATAAGAGCGAATAAACGAGTCTATGCAATATATTTCTTCAGACTACATATGCATGTATAGATTTAACCATTGGTATCAACTTTCTTGGGTTAATTAACTTGGTTGTTTTGAAGTCCATATTAAATACTAATTAGATCCATTTGTTTTTATAATGTCCTAGTCAAACATAATTATGTAGATTATAGATGATAATAATATCAGATATTTTTTTGGTTTTGTAAATAATATGTCTCATAACGTAATACAATTTAACATAATACAATTGTTTGTTGTTAATCATGGTGTAAAAAGTTCAATCCATTTGTAAGGAAAAACCATTGTGGTGGCAGTTGTGCTGTTGGAAGTAACAAATTATGTTACCCTTAATGTTACAGTCAAAGGGTTGGAAATGTTATTCTGAGATCTGGTGGGGACCAGTAAATCCAGATTAGGTGGCTAGTCCTCAGAATTCTCCCTTAAAATTTTGGTTGTCTTTTTAAATAAACATAATGTTTAGTTAATTCCTTTAAGGTCAAAATAAACATAATATTTGGTCATTTCTTTTAATATTAACTTAGACTGTGGTCATATTTATCAGTATCCCTTATCTATTGACACTTGACAAATAACAATCATTATATGTACAATCTACTACTTTTTCCTGTAAAGACATACATGATCGGGTTATAAAAATACTCTAAACAAAACTAAAAGTCAAACTCGTCTTTCCGCACAAAAACACCAAAACTCATTTGGTAGTGTGCTGCAATGATGGCTAATGACAATTATGAAACGCCACACCTTTTGGGTCGGTGGCCACTTCCTAATGACATGAAAGTAGGAAACATGTTCAGGGGTGACCGGTGAGATAATGATTAAAGTTAATGTATAGTATTTTTAATTTAAAATGTAATGCATATGTATTTCCACAGTATTGCTTTTGATCTATGATTTAATTAAAATAAGTCTTTATTAAAAATTTATTAAAAAGTCTTTTTTTTTTCAAAAGTTTTAATTTAAGTCATTTGATTTTTTAATCGAACAATTATGATGTGGATTGTTTTGAACTCATGAACAAAACTTAACAATAATTCGATTAGCATCAAAGGTGCCAACCATTGACATTCTATTTTTAGCGTTACCAATTTCCCCTGCACCCCAGGGAAAAAAAAAGACGTTTCTATGAGGGAAAAGGTAGTTACAATTAATAGAAAAAGTATCTAAGGTTAACCTAAATGACTAAATAAAAGTCCAATGCAAATATAACTCTATTTATATACCAACATTTTCCATCAAACTCACAATACGATAGCAATAAACATTAAGATTATATCAAACACAAAGCAAAAACGAGAGGCCGAGTGGGATTTTGTGAAAATATTGACAATCTATAAGACTGATCGAACATACCGTACCGAGATGGTTCCTAGCTATAGATGATGGCGAATGAACTGAAAACCAATCTCAATATGTTTTGTCTATTTATGAAAAACATAATTGCTTACAATTTGTATCGCATTGTTGTTGTAACCAGAAGATATGATGAACACTATCATAATCATCAAATCAACATACATAGAGCTCTTATACTATGTAAGCCGATAATAAAATAAAAGGAATAAGCTAGGGTTTATTATTGAGGAAAACCAGTTACAATGAAATAGAAGACAACTATAAATATAATAGTTATATACGGTTAAATAAAAGCTCGATATAAAAATAACTCAATATTTTTTATTATGCTAAAAGTCATAACCTAATCACTCCCTGAATGTGTTCTTATGTGAATAAAGTTACATGCACTTCGATTTTGCCAATTGATATTGGTTGTGTATGTTTCAGTTAATCTAATCTTCTGTTGTTTATAATTGCAACAAATTGATTCTTTGAATTCAATGGATAAGTGAAATTGAATTATTTTTGTAACCGTAACATTTTTTTTCATGTCTTCCTCCAAATCGATAAAAGATTGTTTTTTGTATGCAAATCACATTCTTCATGGTAGGGATGTAAATTAACTTGTCTGGAATTGGCTCGAACCGGACGGAACGGGAAGACCCGAAAAACGAATTTGGACAAAAATAGAAACAGAAAACCAAACTTATTATACCAATATGGGACTGGTTCTGGTTTGGTTATTAACTGGAAAGGACCGAAAAACATATACAATTTGCTTTGGAACTGGAAAGAACCGGTTTAGGTTCTAGAACATGAAAAACCGGGTTGTTTTAGTAAAAAAATATGTATTCAGGGGCTGTTTGGTGCTCTTTTTAAAATCAGAAGCTGTCTGGTACTTTTTTTAAACTGAAGGGGCAGTTTGCATATTTTATCTTTGATACAATACAAACAAAAACATTTCTTTTGCCCAGTTACAGTGGAATGGTTAATAGGAATAAAACGAAAAACCTCATTTATGGTACTTTTGGAAAAGTGCAATACGAAGTGGGCTACTACATAATTGATCAATAAAATCCAACCACACATTAAGTTCTTAACCAAATTCATAAATCTATAATCCATAAATCCGTACGAATTGGGTTACTACATGATACAATCCAACTAAAATATGAAACTTAAGTGTTTTAACTATATCCATAAATCCATAATCCATATATAAACATTAAACTTTTAAAAAATATAAAATTATTATTCATAAGTATTTGTTGGTTTTTTCCCCTTTCCACCTTCATTGTATATCGCATCTTCCGACTCTTTTGCAACATGATCATCTTTTAAAACTTCGTCAATATTGTCTACAATTGACTTTCTTGATTTTCTTACCCAATCTTATCTGCAAACTAAAACATATACTATATTTGCGAACAAATTTGTTCGGTATAGATCTAATATATGTCTCCTTGTACTAAAATTGCTTATGATGCCACGGTGTAAAATTTGAATTCCCAAAATATCTATCAACGCAAATATACATGTTAAGTATAAATTGTATGCCATTAGCATATGTTCGGGGGGTTTTATGTAAATTACATATTAGTTTGTTGCAATTCACTTTGGTAGTGAACGGTGTGTGTGTCTATATATATATATATATATATATATATATATATATATATATATATATATATATATATATATATATATATATATATATATATATATATAAAATAGATTATGCAATGTGAAAATCCGTTAATTGGGGTTATTGTGTATCGAAACAATATATATATATATATATAATATATATATATATATATATATATATATATATATATATATATATAAATAAGATCAAATGAGAACACCTAAAAGTTTGAAAATGCGAGAACACATCTGAACCATTTTAAAAACTAAATCTAAGGCTATTATCGACTAGACCATTTATATAAATTCTTAAAATTACAGGAATTAAAGTGTAACTTTAAAACTGTCATAAGGGTAAAATGGTAATTGATTGTTTACTTATGTTTAGCAATTCCTACAATCTCTCTCTCTCTCTCTCTTTCTCTCTCTCTCTCTCTCTCTCGTATCTCTCCCTCTATATCCCTGCTTCTGCACTTTTCACAACCCTAGGGCCTCCTCTCATTCCAGCCGCCGATGGGCGTGAAGAAGCAGCGAAGTTTTGCTCATTTCTTCCGGCTGAGAGGTATGAGTCGTCGGTCTTGGTGGGTGCTTTGCTCCAGTCGTTAGAAGATAAGCGGATGGGATGTTCGGTGGTCACGTAGCCACGAGGAGGGGAGACGATCAATCATTGGGTGGGAGAAGCACCTCCGGTGCTTTACTGTTTCGCAGAGCAGAAAATGAAAACAATAATGGCGGCTGGAGGGCGCTTCTTCTGTCTCGACTGGAATGAGGGAAGGGGTCTCGATGGGACAGTTGCTTCGATCGGTAATGATTCTCTTCTCTTTTCTTTTTATTTTGACTGTAAATCAATGAAGTTTAATAAATAGATTTAGATGGGTGTTTGGGTTTGGTTGTTTGACATAAATTGATAGAGATGAAAAGAAGAACAACGAAAATGCATTTTTCTTTGTTTGTTTTGATAGAAACTGATGAAGGTATGGATATTTGGGTGTTGATGTTTTACAGTGAATCGGTGGGTTTTTATTTACCTAACAAAATTAATATTTCCTTTTAGTTAATGATTTCCTAAAATCTAGGGATCCTCTCCCTATATATATATATATATATATATATATATATATATATATATACTAGCCGTCTACCCGCGCAAAGCGGCGGGGCACGTGAGTTCTTTCGGTGATATGTTTCCATTACAAAATTGTTATGTTAAAAAAAAGTACATGTTGAAGACAATATAATCAAACTATGGTGTTATTTGTTACATCATGCATCAAATAACCAATAAAAAGCAACCAGTCAAGACGACACAAAATATTAATCGTGCAATACTTCTTTATACACCACATTTGTTGTATAAACCCCATCACCTTTTGAATTTTCGTTAGGCTTTACTAATACTTTTGTATTGCAACGTGAAACCCCTCTGGACA